GGTGGGGGAGCGCGCGGGGGCGGGGGCGCGAGCCATGGCCCGCGCGGCGAGCGGGAGGCGTCCCCATTGGAAGAGCCGCGCGCACGTGCTCCCTCTCGCCGTCCCCGCCACCGACGCGGCTCGCGTGCTCTCATTCCACAGGCGGGGTTTCCTCTAGGTGTTGGGCGCGGGGGGGGCGGCGGGAGCCATGGTCCGCCGGGCGAGGGGGCGGCGTCCCCATTGTAAGAGCCGCGCGCACGTGCTCCCTCTCGCCGTCCCCGCCACCGACGCGGCTCGCGTGCTCTCATTCCACAGGCGGGATTCCCTCGAGGTGTGGCGCGCGGCGAGGGCGCTGCCCTCCTCGGATTGTTGAGCCTGGCGGCGGTCCCCTCGTCATCCAAGTCCAGAGCAGCTTTGGAGGCATGGATCAACCTAGGCTGTGCCAAGCCACAGGTCTAAACGTGCTCCGCACCAATGACTCTGACCAGGCCAGGAATTGCAGCACTGAAGAAAGTTACATCTACCAAGATGGCACCCCGTTCTCCTGGAAGGTTGTCCTCACCATCATCTTGGCTCTTATCACCTTGGCCACCATATTGTCCAATGCTTTTGTTATTGCCACTGTCTACCAGACTCGTAAGCTCCACACCCCAGCCAACTATCTCATAGCTTCCTTGGCAGTCACTGACCTTCTGGTATCCCTCCTTGTCATGCCTATCAGTACCATGTACACTGTGACTGGGAAATGGACCCTTGGCCAGATTGTGTGTGACATTTGGCTCTCTTCAGACATCACTTGTTGCACTGCTTCCATTCTCCATTTGTGCGTGATTGCCCTGGACAGATACTGGGCCATCACGGATGCAGTTGAGTATTCTACTAAAAGGACTCCAAAGAGAGCAGCAGTTATGATCATCCTGGTGTGGGTCTTCTCTATCTCCATCTCAATCCCTCCTTTCTTCTGGCAGCAGTCTAAAGCTGAAGAGATGGCTAACTGTGTGGTGAATTCAGACCACATCTTATATACCATCTATTCCACAGTGGGGGCCTTCTATTTTCCTACCTTGCTGCTGATTATCCTCTATGGAAGGATCTATGTGGAAGCCAGATCTCGGATTTTGAAACAGACGCCAAAGAACACCGGCAAAAGGTTGACCCGGGCTCACTTAATAACAGATTCCCCTGGGTCAACATCCTCTGTCACCTCTATAAATTGCAAGGCCTCAGAGGCATCCAGTGAAATGGGGTCTCCTGTATATACGAACCAGGTCAAAGTGAAAGTATCAGATGCTTTTCTGGAAAAAAAGAAGCTGATGGCTGCCAGAGAGCGGAAAGCAACCAAGACTTTAGGGATTATTTTAGGAGCCTTCATTGTGTGCTGGCTACCTTTCTTTATCATTACGTTAGTGTTGCCTATTTGTAAAGATGCTTGCTGGTTCCACATGGCCATCTTTGACTTTTTCACATGGCTGGGATATCTTAACTCTCTGATCAACCCTATCATCTACACTATGTCCAATGAAGACTTCAAACAAGCATTTCACAAATTGATACGGTTCCGATGTGCAAGTTGAATTATAAGTGCAGTTAAATGTAAGTCTCCAGAGTCGGAGGCTTGAATGAATGCATTTTGTGTGTCTGGTTCTTCAGGTAGGTGGATTATTCTTACCATGCTACTGTCTCTCCAGAAAACAGTATCTTTTAATGGCAGAATGGAGTTCAATAGAGAGGAGAACCGTGCCAGTTAGCAAAGGTTCTCATTCAGGGTAGAGGTAACTACAAAACAGCCTCCCTCTGAGCCTGGGTTTAAAAATATGCTGCATCTTACTCTGTTCCCACTAATGTTGCTGAAGAAGTCTTTTTGGCCTTAAAATGAGAGTTTAATCCTGGATTATGCCTTGTAGAGCCATTGTGGTAGGAACTGGAAAGGTATTGGACAACTTCTGTGGAGACACCTGATCCAGCGTGACTGTACTGTACTTGAACTAAGTGACTGTCATCCCATCTCTTCTGCTAGGAGATCTTTGCCTCTCAGACATCTGTGTTTGAAAGTGCTTTGCCATGTTTCCCTCCTTTTTCCTGCTAGCTTGCTAAATTAAAGACTATGCAGAGTAGATTATAAATGAATTGCGCATGATGCTTAGTAGTGATATGGATCAGAGATCTGGGAGAACTAGTACTGATAGTCTTACGATAACCACTCCTTCACTTGCTTATAATAAATGGGCTGGAGGAATGTTGGGGAAGCAATCAAATATAGACAAAACTCAGCATGAGAAAAGCAACTCATCTTTTTTTCTTTTTTTTGTACAGATGTGCCTTCTCTTTTGTTTAACAACTTGTCATAGTAACCAAAAAAGCCAAACTGTTATGTGTGCATATGTTTGTGTGAGCGCATGCATGGCGGCCTGTGCAATCAAGTGCCAAAGCTTGCAAACTGCTTTTTTCTTTTTCCATGTTCAGTTCCCTCCCCTCCCTCCCTCCCTTTCTCTCTTTTTCTTCTTTCTTTCCATCCTTCATGTTTTTAAATAAGTGATTATATGCTATTCTTCTGTTCATTTGCATTTTAATTTTAGTTAAAACTTTCCTTTCAAAGCTATTAAACATACTTATACTGTTTGCTTTCAAAAAGAAAAGTTGATGTTTATTCCTTACGTGGACACTGAATAAACTGCAGTTACCATGAGTGTAATAATTCTTATTAAATGAGCCTTTTTCCCCCTAAAAAGAACTCTTTCTCTCCAGTGCAAGGAAATTTTCCCTTATCACTGATTTCATAAGCAGATTTTCAGATCTTGTCCTATTCAGTTCCTAAAGGAATCTACTCTCTTTTCCAGACGCTATCTAGTAGTACAAAACCTCATCTGCGGTTTTAATTTCCCTTGTCCTTATTTTTCACTCATCTCCTCTCACATATCCCATCCCATCCTTTCCTGAAATACTTTGACAAACTGATTGAATGAATGGTTCGTCTACATTATTAATGTCACTAAGGCAATAAGGCAGGAGAGGACTCAGTTTCAGCACTTGAGAAAGCTGCAGAGTTTCTTTGTTATCTGCCTAAAGCCCGGATGCAAAGAGTGAGTCTTACACAATATTCACTGCTTTGAATAAACACTGTACTTAGAAAATCCTATTACAATACATGCTTGCTATGTTATATAATCCTTAAAAGGCTTCCAACTGCATACATCCCCTACTATTGAAGTTAGTAAAGGCATTACTAAAATAGCTTTCATTGTGTAGGACAGTCTGATACCGGTCCCCTCTGAATTATAAACTTTTTTGGTGGGGAGGAGGGATCCCCCAGGAACAGATTTTGTCTTTGATTTCAAATTAATAATGGCACATCAGGCCAGAAACCTTGCAAAGTTTTGATTAGAATCTTTTTAGAGAGATTTCTTCCTGTGATCTGGGTCAGGATTGGTAATAGCTTCCTTTGCCCATGTGTTGGGTTAAGTAGAAAATCTGACTAATGCTTCTCTATAGTGATAAAAATAGAAGTATAAACTAAGACTTCAACGTATAGTAAAGCTGCCCAAATGAGGAATAGGAAAGAAGAAAAGAAAATCCTCTGTATCATACTTCTGCAAGATCTAGAGAGCTGCACCAGTGATACTTCACGTGACCCATCTTAACAACAAGGTTATTTTCCTGTGGTACCTGATTCCAGCAGCCATATTAAGGAAGCACAATGGGGACTTATTGCTGCTACCTCATATTTTTCCACATTCTCATATGGAATTCCTTTGCAATTTTTTTTCCTATAAAAGTAGGACTTCAACAGTGATATTGACAATTTTATTTCCCCCTCCCCTGAAAAATTCATATGATGTTTTCACAGTGTAAGTCACTTTCACCAATCCCTGCTAGACAGTTCCTTTATTTTATTTATAAGGTGTATATACTATCAAGCAAAGAATCTCTAGGTTCTTTATTCCAAGAGGCCTAAAATGTAAATAATGTCTGAGATTATAACAAATAGGTGGAGGAAAGAAATGACAAGTGAATGTCAACACACACAGTAAAAACTTATATTCTGGTTTTGTTGAACTGAAATAAAGATTAAATTGGGTTGGATTTTTAATGCAGAACTGTATGGTACTCTTATTTAAATCCAGTTCTTAAAAATGATGTCTGAGTTCATGAAGAAATTGAAAATGAATACTTTACTGACTTTGCAAACAACCTTCCTCTGCATTTCTACCTGGTTTTCATGTGTTTATGTCTGCCTTTTTTTTTCATGTACAGTAGCTTATTCCCAATTCTTTTTTGTTGTTGTTGTTGTTGTTGTTGTTTATAAAGAGCTGCTAATCTCATTCTGAAGGTCCTGAAATGTAAACTTTTGCACTGAAATGAACTGTACACTGTGGCATAACTTCTTCAGGTTGCTTGTTTATGGAAAGCAAATGGTTGTTCAAGAAATAGTCATTTTTGTTTTAAATCAGTGAGTGTTGATACTGTAACATTGATACTTACTTAGTCACCATACTTCTCAGACAGGAGATGGAATGGACTGCTTATCTCTTAATACTGTTTGCACTACTGCAGTTGTCTTCAGAAGTGAAGCACCTTGCGCTTATGTTTTGGGAACGTAGGAGAAATGTGAAAGTCCTGTCCTTTCATCTTTTTAATCAATCTGGTATTTAAAGAATAGCCATTTGATGCTGTGATCTTACAGATTATTTTTTTTTTCCCATATGTATGGTACTGTTAACTGAGGAATCCAAAATCATCTGAAATACTAGCCACTGTTCCGATCCTCTAGGTTGTTGGTGTAAACAATTGGAACCTACTTTATTATATATTTTTACTCATTATTTTTTGAAGATTAGATAAATTATCTCTACATCATAAGCCCAGCAGTCAAAATTTTAAAATTCAGACTGTGTTGTTCTGTTCCACTTGCCTTGAAAGGATTGCATTACAAGTGTTTGTCTTAAATGTATCTGAAAATCAAACAATAAAAAAGCTTTACTGTGATAACAAGAGTATTTAGTAGAAATTGTGTTACTAAGGAAGATGATATTTGTTTACTAGACTGAAGCTTTATATGATGATGATGAGACAGTAGGAAAAGGTAATTATTAATTGTGGCTGAAATTGGCAATTGTAATTAGGAGCCACAACAAATTTAATACACTTCATCAAATATGTAGATGATATCCTTAACAGTGACTGGGTTCATAATACACAAAGCCATGGTTACCTGAATAAGTGACAGTTGTCTGGATTCACGTAACATGGTAAGCAGTAAACCAAGTATATGATAGTTTAACCAGGTACACGAAGCCAGCCAATGTATCTGATGGAGTTCATTTTAGGTCCATGTACTCTTATTTGTTTTGGGAATGCTCCAAGACAATATATTATTTGTTTAATTTAGTACATGTATGCTGCCTTTTTCCCATCGCATAATTCAAAGGATATTCATCGGGGTTTTCAGATCATCTCTTACCAGGCATAAAGCTGTTCAGATTCAGCAAGAGAGCCACATCATGTGTCGCTCTCTTTTAGGTATCTTTTTATAAAGGCATTAATTCTGATATTTATTTTTTCTTCCACTGGAGACATTGTTAGGTAAACCCAAGACGCCTAGCAACTGAAAGTGGTAACTTTCCCCTTTCCCCTTTGCTAGTAAGTGAAGCTGGCTTGGAGAGGCAGAGAACAATCTATGTTGAGCAGGGCACATGGAAGCAGCGTCGGGAGCCCCTTTTATATGGCACACATCCCATGATGTGCGTACTTGAAATCAAGACAGACTCTGGGCTAAAGAAAAAATCCTTATTCCAATTAGTTGCAAGCAATTTAATAATTCATTGTCCAATTGGCTTAAAATACTAAGTGTTTTTTCTTTGCAGTTATTGACAGAAATGAGAATAGTTTTCTTCTCCCTTTAGGTTTACGTATCAAAATTCCAGGCCTTTCTTAGATGCAAAAATAACTTAAACAGAATTGATTTATTTACTGTGCTTGCCAACTAAATGAATTGAGGTCTCATTTCTCTTGCATACGAGATTCCCATTAACTGTATTAAATGCATTTTGTGAATGCTGCTGACTGGAAACTTGAATACAGCATTCTAGTTATCTAAAGTTCAGTTTTCTCATTAAGGCTCAATTAAGAAGTTAATCATGCTTAAATTCCATTGTGGGACTTATAACAGATGGGATTAACTTTGTTTTTGATGTCAAAGAATCAAGAAAAGGACTTTGTTTTAAATCTGGGGACCCATGCATGGAGGAGTAGCAGTACTATTCATGGTCCCAGTATCCACTTGTTGATAATAGCACACATGTATGCCTATAGGTTCTTTTCCTACCGTTGGATAATTACAAATGCATGGGCCTGATCATGGGAAGAAAAACCATCCATATTCATCCTCTGTATCTAGAAGCTCTGTTTGCAAAGGAGTACACATGTTTTTTGTAAAGGAGGATCAAGATAAAATAATTATTTTCTTTTGGGATAACAAAACAGGCCTCTAAGAAGGGTAATAGTGAAACTCTAATATAAAGCTTACCTACTTACCTAAATGTCTGAATATTCATTCCTTGGTTGTTGTCTCATGCTATATATATCAATTAGGATTAAATATTTCCTCAAATCTAAATACCTATGAGATGCATCTGTTTAAAAAGAATGTACATTTAAGCACTTGTAAGCCATTAGAGACTTCCAAAATTATTCTAACTTTTTGAACATTCATTCTAAAATATGAATTTTTCCGGTAGGAAAATGTATTTTCTCAAATGTGTTCCCCGAGGCAATAAAGATATATGGTTGATAAAGTAAATTGAAATGTGCTCTTTCTTTTTCAAACTTTTGTTGGGATTGGAGCAAGTTTGCAAACATAAGCAAGGTCATCTCTAAAATTAACATTTGGTTCTAGTTCATAGTTCATATCTTACTTCTAGGAGGAACAGAAACGACCAACATGGGAATATTAATTATAATAAATTTTCAAGGAGGGAGAAAATATCCAGCATTTTTTTAAAAGAAAATTTGTGTCTTGTCTCAGTTTCTGTAGTTTTCATCTTGCCAGATTCTTCTCTTATTTACAACTGTATGCCCGTGATTGAGTAATAATGATATCCATGCACCATATGTTCTTGAGGATGCTGCGTTGTAGCCATACAAATGTTACAGGTAGCTTTGCTTTTCAGGTTTTGGAGAACGTAAGTTCAGACTACTGAAGCATGCCCAGTACATGGACTCCTTAACTGGCGAGCTACCTAAATATAATTCTCTTTATAAATGTCCAGGCTTCAGCAAAAGAAGATAAAATAGTCAGTTTTATCAATGGACTGGTTTATCCAAGACACATACTTGCCCTATATTCTTTCAATTTGTAGCAGTTGTCACCCATTGCATAGGGGCTTTGCAGCTAGTCTTTCAGCATGTAGTTGAGATGTTCGGCAAAAGAGGGCTGCTACTACAGAAGAGGGAATTTTGGCAGATGAGGCTTTGCTACCTCCTGCAGCATAAAACATAGCAAGGAGCATCTACTAAAATACCCTGTCTTCTGCACAAGTGTTAAAGATACCAAAGCAAAGCTTTTCTTGCATTGAGCACCCCAGTATTGCTAGAGGTTTATGAACTTATGCACACACTACTTGGGAGTGATGACAACAGGAAATACTGCAGAAAGCTTGTTCATCAGAATCCTACACCTAGTTAGCGCTGTAGATCGATTCTTGGAACTTCAGTTTTATATCTATTGCTTTTCTAATGTATTGTTTACTGAATTAGGGCAGGCTTTTGCCTTAGGTAAGTGTTTTTTTAAACTCACTATTCAAAAGATGTTGCAAACAGATCCATAATAGCTTTTGATGTTAGAACTGGAAAAAAAAAAAAGGATATTCATGAAGTAAGAAAGTGTAGCATATATCATTAACTGCAACAGAGAGAATAGACAGGACAGCGTTCCCCTCTGAATTCTGAAACAGATGTTTGGAAGAATTGTTGATTGCATTTTGGAAAAAAAAAATTACAATATATTTACTGCAATCACAGCTTGAGGAGAAAGTTCTTCAGAAAGATAATAGCGACATTTGTAAATGGCCATAATTTGCATTTTAGGGAGCATTATAGAGACTAAATTATAACCCAGTATTGTGCAATGTATCCAGTATTTGAATGTGGGAGCCCCCAGTTCAATTCCTGGCTAAACAATTTGGATTCCATAGGACAAAGGCAACGTCAACCACAGGAACATAAGGAATTGGCCTTTATACGAAATCGTGGAATTGGTTCATTCAGCTCAGAAATGTCTACATCAGGGATAGATAACCCGGGATCCTTAAGATCTTTTATACTTTCATTGCCATATCACCCCTATCCAGCATGACCAAAGTGGTAGTTGTAATCCAAAAATTACAGAATACCCCAGATTGCCTATTCCTAGTCCCTGTGAATGACAGCAGCTCTCCAAAGTTTCAGGCAAGATTTTTTTCACAGCCCTTTTTGAATGCTGAAGATTGAACTTTCTGCACATACGCCATTCATGTGTGATTGCGCTACAGCCCCTCTTTCCATTTAGGACTGGAAAAATTATGTTTACTGCATTTTTGCTTTCCCTACGGATTTGTAAAAGGGCACCAGATAGATGATGTTATAGTAAAAACAGAGAAATGCTTGATGTTTTCCCCCTTCTTTGTAAAGTTTGAGGTCAATTTAATCAGTCTCAAACAGGAGGAGCTTTGAGAAGGAAAAAATGAATTAAATGTGAGATAAGATTTTACCTTCTTCAGTTCACTATGCACTTACTCAAAAGGAAGTTCAAGTGAAATCAGTACGACTTTTTAAATAAATATGCATAGATTATGCCTCTAAATTCCTTTAGTATGCTCAATCATATAAAAAAGCTGAAAATAACCATAACACTTGCTCCTTGCCTTCTGTTGTCCCCCCCCCACCCCAATAGGGCAATTTCCCCTGTATACTCTAGTATTTGTTATTCATTGTCAAATATATTGCTTAATTGTATAGTTACTTTACAATTCACAAAGTAAGTTGTAACAAATTTATGTCTGCGATAACAACTAGGATAGCTTGGAGGCAGTTTATCTAAGGCTGTCATGGATCCTCTTAAGTAAGGTTTATGATATGTAAGGAGGATAAAGCTATTAAGAGAATTACTTGGAAATCTCAAACTGGAATTTGTTTTAATCTTGTAGACACTAATTGCTCCTTTGTAGGGTTCTGTTCCACAGATTCTTACCTCTCATCATGACTCTTTATTATTAATTAATCATTTAAATGGTCTTTTGATTTCCAATTAAATTTATTAATAATTACTATAATCACACAGCTTTCCTTAATGTAAACAATTTTCATCATCTCTGGTATCTATATATGAGTGGTGTCATTTTAAAACTGTTTTTACTATTACAATTGTTTTTCACATGCTGCTTTCATCAATATATTAATAAACTTTTTTTCCCTATTAATTACCTGTGTTACTGTTAATACAGTTTCCACCATTATTGTATCTATGTAGCGTTTGGAAAAGTTAGCTCTTGGAATTTAGACATGTAAACAGTTGATATTTGTTCTGCTGATGCATATTATGATGATCCTCTGTTTTACATTAACCAAAGTCAATAGAAGTAATAACTTCCATCAAGTGGAGTTTCCATTGTATTATACTCTAACAGTTTCCTCACAGAAAATTTTGCACTGTAAAAACAATGTAAGATTTGGCATAATAGAGAAACAGGAAAAATTTGAGCTGAGATTCTAGCTGTTGAGAACATCTATTTAAGAGAATACTGTTTGTTTCCAAATGGTTAAAAGCAAGATGTTAAGTGTCAACGCACAAGCCATTTACTTCAGAATACTGCAGTACAGAATTCAAAGCACCTTCAAAGCTATGAACTGGCTTATTTTATTTATTTAATACATTCCTACCTTGTCTTTCTGATGAAACAGATTTTTAAAAAATATTTTTTAAAAAAGCATAAATTAAGACTAATTAACAAAAGTCAGCAAAAGATACCATCTTTAGACATAGATTAGGGACCACCACAATCCTGAACAACCCAGGTTCTCTTTTGGGGGCCTGAAAGGTGGGCTAATGACAGCTGAGGCGTCTAAACGTGGGCCTTTCCAGCAGATCTGAACAGATTTGTCACAAACACTGGGTAATCGACGGGTATACAAATGTGGTAAATAAGTACTCCCCCCAGCTCTCTGTATGGAAAAACAATGGTAAACACATTGTTTTACAAACGTATGAGATCCTTACTTTTCTAACAGTCCTTATTCAAGGAAAAATAAAATTACCAGCTATATTTAGATGTGGTCTCTTTTGCATTATATTAAGCATGCATGTACACACATATACACAGAGTAGATATAGTCCTGCTATTGCAGCTGATTGTGATTCCAGAACTAATGCTAGTATAACATAATTTCAGTTCTGAGCCCAAGCAGCAACAGAAACAAAACAACAGTGAATGAACAAATGAAAGCTAATATACCTAACAGCAGTGTGGAACAGTAAGCATCTAGCAACTGCAAGATCATTAGTTCATGAACTCTCGGAGCAGAGAGACAGTCATGTAAAACCTGTGCTTGGGGGCATGACATAATGCAACACCTGTATTTCTCTGCTCTGAGAGCTTAAGGGAAAATGGACTATATAGACCATTCTGAGAGCTTCTAGACATCCCTTCCTGAAACTACTGAGTGTCAGGACTTAGCTCCTAGAGCTAACACCCTCTCTATAGTCATCTAAAGTGTGACATCTGTGAGTTCAATTCCCAGTAGAGGGTTTGAACTCCATAGCATAACATCTGGCTATCCATGTCTGACAATTCCCAATAAGGATGAATCCAGTAATGTGGTGCCCCCTGGTGGTCAATTTAACTGAAAAATATCACACAACGTATATACTGTGTAAAAATAGAGAAAAATTTGTACATGGGGGCATAACATAATACACCTATATTCCTTTGCTTTGAAAGCTTAAGGGAAGATATATACCATTCTGAAGCCAGAGTGTATCTTTCATATACATTTGGTCATCAAAGATTTGAGTACTATTGTGGAGGGCAACACAGGATATTTAGGAGTTCCACTTCAAGATCCTTTCAGCCTCACTTAGAGCAATGGAGATAGATTCAGGTAAGTATTTGTAGATGAGAATGCTGAGACAAGCTATCTTTAAAAGTGGTCAGCATTAGATAATAGAGGTTCTCACCTGATATTGAGTTTTGGTCAATTGTGCAAATTCCTTTTTGTTCTGTGGACAGGAACACATGATGATATGACTCCATTTAACAAATGTTGGACTTCAATTTCCATGGGAACTTTTTTTAGCAATAACATTATGATTCCACAAGGAACAGAAATGAAATTGACCAAGCCTGGTATTCCCCTTAAAATTTCCTGCTTTCTATCCATATCCTTATTCTGCTCATTTTCTGCCCTTGGCCTGCAGCTGCTACATCAGCAAAAGGATGTCACAATACCAGAATAGGCAACCCCTTTTTGTGGGGTAGGGGCAGGGTAGCTGAATAGGTGTCATACTTAAAAAAAATACTGGCTCCCAAGGGCTGGAAAAGGCATGGTGTGATGCAGTGATAGTTCTAAAAACACCAGGGCTGAAATTTTGCATACATTTTTGTTGAGGAAGGTTGAGAAATGTTTAAATGCAGAATAGATTTGTTAATTCTAGAGAAAGTATAATGTTCCTATTTTTACTTTTATTGAGCATGCACAAAAGATAATGCTACATTTAGGACTGTGTGATCTGGAGGT